TGTACATAATACCTCATCTCAGAAATATAGACAGATACGGAAGGGCCAAAACAGTGTAATAAATAAGGCGACAAAGATGAGGACAATAGTCAAAATAATGTAAATAGTGTACATAATACCTCATCTCAGAAATATAGACAGATACTGAAAGGCCAAAACAGTGTAATAAATAAGGCGACAAAGATGAGGACAATAGTCCGAATAATGTAAATAGTGTACATAATACCTCATCTCAGAAATATAGACAGATACTGAAAGGCCAAAACAGTGTAATAAATATGGCGACAAAGATGAGGACAATAGTCCGAATAATGTAAATAGTGTACATAATACCTCATCTCAGAAATATAGACAGATACTGAAGGGCCAAAACAGTGTAATAAATAAGGCGACAAAGATGAGGACAATAGTCCAAATAATGTAAATAGTGTACATAATACCTCATCTCAGAAATATAGACAGATACTGAAAGGCCAAAACAGTGTAATAAATAAATGCGACAAAGATGAGGACAATAGTCCGAATAATGTAAATAGTGTACATAATACCTCATCTCAGAAATATAGACAGATACTGAAGGGCCAAAACAGTGTAATAAATAAGGCGACAAAGATGAGGAGAATAGTCCGAATAATGTAAATAGTGTACATAATACCTCATCTCAGAAATATAGACAGATACTGAAGGGCCAAAACAGTGTAATAAATAAGGCGACAAAGATGAGGACAATAGTCCAAATAATGTAAATAGTGTACATAATACCTCATCTCAGAAATATAGACAGATACTGAAAGGCCAAAACAGTGTAATAAATAAGGCGACAAAGATGAGGACAATAGTCCGAATAATGTAAATAGTGTACATAATACCTCATCTCAGAAATATAGACAGATACTGAAGGGCCAAAACAGTGTAATAAATAAGGCGACAAAGATGAGGAGAATAGTCCGAATAATGTAAATAGTGTACATAATACCTCATCTCAGAAATATAGACAGATACGGAAGGGCCAAAACAGTGTAATAAATAAGGCGACAAAGATGAGGACAATAGTCCGAATAATGTAAATAGTGTACATAATACCTCATCTCAGAAATATAGACAGATACTGAAGGGCCAAAACAGTGTAATAAATAAGGACAAAGATGAGGACAATAGTCCGAATAATGTAAATAGTGTACATAATACCTCATCTCAGAAATATAGACAGATACTGAAGGGCCAAAACAGTGTAATAAATAAAGGCGACAAAGATGAGGACAATAGTCCGAATAATGTAAATAGTGTACATAATACCTCATCTCAGAAATATAGACAGATACTGAAGGGCCAAAACAGTGTAATAAATAAGGCGACAAAGATGAGGACAATAGTCCCAATAATGTAAATAGTGTACATAATACCTCATCTCAGAAATATAGACAGATACTGAAGGGCCAAAACAGTGTAATAAAAATAAGGCGACAAAGATGAGGACAATAGTCCGAATAATGTAAATAGTGTACATAATACCTCATCTCAGAAATATAGACAGATACTGAAGGGCCAAAACAGTGTAATAAATAAGGCGACAAAGATGAGGACAATAGTCCGAATAATGTAAATAGTGTACATAATACCTCATCTCAGAAATATAGACAGATACTGAAGGGCCAAAACAGTGTAATAAATAAGGCGACAAAGATGAGGAGAATAGTCCGAATAATGTAAATAGTGTACATAATACCTCATCTCAGAAATATAGACAGATACTGGAAGGGCCAAAACAGTGTAATAAATAAAAATGGCGACAAAGATGAGGACAATAGTCCGAATAATGTAAATAGTGTACATAATACCTCATCTCAGAAATATAGACAGATACTGAAGGGCCAAAACAGTGTAATAAATAAAGGCGACAAAGATGAGGACAATAGTCCGAATAATGTAAATAGTGTACATAATACCTCATCTCAGAAATATAGACAGATACTGAAGGGCCAAAACAGTGTAATAAATAAGGCGACAAAGATGAGGACAATAGTCCGAATAATGTAAATAGTGTACATAATACCTCATCTCAGAAATATAGACAGATACTGAAGGGCCAAAACAGTGTAATAAATAAGGCGACAAAGATGAGGACAATAGTCCGAATAATGTAAATAGTGTACATAATACCTCATCTCAGAAATATAGACAGATACTGAAGGGCCAAAACAGTGTAATAAATAAGGCGACAAAGATGAGGACAATAGTCCGAATAATGTAAATAGTGTACATAATACCTCATCTCAGAAATATAGACAGATACTGAAGGGCCAAAACAGTGTAATAAATAAAGGCGACAAAGATGAGGACAATAGTCCGAATAATGTAAATAGTGTACATAATACCTCATCTCAGAAATATAGACAGATACTGAAGGGCCAAAACAGTGTAATAAATAAATGACAAAGATGAGGACAATAGTCCGAATAATGTAAATAGTGTACATAATACCTCATCTCAGAAATATAGACAGATACTGAAGGGCCAAAACAGTGTAATAAATAAAGGCGACAAAGATGAGGACAATAGTCCGAATAATGTAAATAGTGTACATAATACCTCATCTCAGAAATATAGACAGATACTGAAGGGCCAAAACAGTGTAATAAATAAAGGCGACAAAGATGAGGACAATAGTCCGAATAATGTAAATAGTGTACATAATACCTCATCTCAGAAATATAGACAGATACTGAAGGGCCAAAACAGTGTAATAAATAAAAGGCGACAAAGATGAGGACAATAGTCCGAATAATGTAAATAGTGTACATAATACCTCATCTCAGAAATATAGACAGATACTGAAGGGGCCAAAACAGTGTAATAAATAAAGGCGACAAAGATGAGGACAATAGTCCGAATAATGTAAATAGTGTACATAATACCTCATCTCAGAAATATAGACAGATACTGAAGGGCCAAAACAGTGTAATAAATAAGGCGACAAAGATGAGGGACAATAGTCCGAATAATGTAAATAGTGTACATAATACCTCATCTCAGAAATATAGACAGATACGGAAGGGCCAAAACAGTGTAATAAATAAAGGCGACAAAGATGAGGACAATAGTCCGAATAATGTAAATAGTGTACATAATACCTCATCTCAGAAATATAGACAGATACTGAAGGGCCAAAACAGTGTAATAAATAAGGCGACAAAGATGAGGACAATAGTCCGAATAATGTAAATAGTGTACATAATACCTCATCTCAGAAATATAGACAGATACTGAAGGGCCAAAACAGTGTAATAAATAAGGCGACAAAGATGAGGACAATAGTCAAAATAATGTAAATAGTGTACATAATACCTCATCTCAGAAATATAGACAGATACTGAAAGGCCAAAACGTTGTAAGAAATATGTCAACAAAGATGAGGACAATAGTCTGAATAATGTAAATAGTGTACATAATACCTCATCTCAGAAATATAGACAGATACTGAAGGGCCAAAACAGTGTAATAAATAAGGCGACAAAGATGAGGACAATAGTCAAAATAATGTAAATAGTGTACATAATACCTCATCTCAGAAATATAGACAGATACTGAAAGGCCAAAACGTTGTAATAAATATGTCAACAAAGATGAGGACAATAGTCTGAATAATGTAAATAGTGTACATAATACCTCATCTCAGAAATATAGACAGATACTGAAGGGCCAAAACAGTGTAATAAATAAATGCGACAAAGATGAGGACAATAGTCAAAATAATGTAAATAGTGTACATAATACCTCATCTCAGAAATATAGACAGATACTGAAAGGCCAAAACGTTGTAATAAATATGTCAACAAAGATGAGGACAATAGTCTGAATAATGTAAATAGTGTACATAATACCTCATCTCAGAAATATAGACAGATACTGAAGGGCCAAAACAGTGTAATAAATAAGGCGACAAAGATGAGGACAATAGTCAAAATAATGTAAATAGTGTACATAATACCTCATTTCAGAAATATAGACAGATACTGAAAGGCCAAAACAGTGTAATAAATAAGGCGACAAAGATGAGGACAATAGTCCGAATAATGTAAATTGTGTACATAATACCTCATCTCAGAAATATAGACAGATACTGAAAGGCCAAAACAGTGTAATAAATAAGGCGACAAAGATGAGGACAATAGTCTGAATAATGTAAATAATGTACATAATACCTCATCTCAGAAATATAGACAGATACTGAAGGGCCAAAACAGTGTAATAAATAAGGCGACAAAGATGAGGACAATAGTCAAAATAATGTAAATAGTGTACATAATACCTCATCTCAGAAATATAGACAGATACTGAAAGGCCAAAACAGTGTAATAAATAAGGCGACAAAGATGAGGACAATAGTCCGAATAATGTAAATTGTGTACATAATACCTCATCTCAGAAATATAGACAGATACTGAAGGGCCAAAACAGTGTAATAAATAAGGCGACAAATTTGAGGACAATAGTCAAAATAATGTAAATAGTGTACATAATACCTCATCTCAGAAATATAGACAGATACTGAAAGGCCAAAACAGTGTAATAAATATGGCAACAAAGATGAGGACAATAGTCCGAATAATGTAAATAGTGTACATAATACCTCATCTCAGAAATATAGATAGATACTGAAGGGCCAAAACAGTGTAATAAATATGTCAACAAAGATGAGGACAATAGTCCGAATAATGTCTCAAATATAGACAGATACTGAAAGGCCAAAACGTTGTAATAAATATGTCATCTCAGAAATAGTCCGAATAATGTAAATAGACAGAGACAGATACTGAAAGGCCAAAACGTTGTAATAAATATGTCAACAAAGATGAGGACAATAGTCCGAATAATGTAAATTGTGTACATAATGCCTCATCTCAGAAATATAGACAAATGTTGTATTGTCTATCATAATTAGGTTTTGATTAGGACTGCATTCATTTTATTTCAGTTTTACGTTACTAATGGCTTATGGCCGAATCACATTGAAACACCAGTTCCCATATGATCACCGAAGTTAAGCAATGTTGAGACTGGACATTACCAGATGAGTGACCTCTTGGAAATATCAGGGTTTCTAAGTTTGGATGTACGGTGGGTGTAATGGATAATGGCTTGGAATTGTTAATTATAGAGCCAAGTTCCAATTCCAGTTGGGTTTGTTATATTACCCTTGGGAAAGGAATGAATCCTCCCTCCCACCGCCCAGCTTAAAACCAACAAAAATGAACATAGACTATTATTGTTCATTTGTGAAGGCTTATGGCCACATCATATTAAAACACCAGTTCCTTTATGATTTTCATTAGTTAAGCAATGTCGAGCCTGGCCAGTACCTAGATGAGTGACTGCTTGGGAATACCAGGTGCTGCAAGCTTGGATATGCAAGTAGTCTCAAGGATAACGGCTTGGAATTAGGAATCAGAGGGCTGAATTCCAATTCCTATTGGGTTCATTATATTCACTTACATCCATGGGAAAAGTATGAATCCACCTGTTCTCCCCCAGATATGGGTTAATTAGTAACACTTGTATCATTAAACCATTATTATCTCCCCACCAAAATAATTTTTACAACCTATAAAGGGTTGATAAGCAATAGAAAACGAATCAATGAATGAATGAAACACTGATTAGCTACACAGGCATGTCTTTTAGATTTATTTACATTTTCTGGAATAGAAATGTATAGAAACTACAGTGATCACAAAGTGAGGGATCAGTTTATATATTGATTGCAATATAGAAATGATCCCCCATTTTATGTCCACATTATAATTTCTTGTTTGTTTATCAAATTCTTATTATGTATGAATCCTATCTCCCACTGTTCATGGGTTAATCAGTAAATTCTTCCAATCTTATGGCCACATCACATTGAAACACCAGTTCCTTTACATCTTCATTAGTTAAGCAATGTCGAGCCTGGCCAGTACCTAGGTGAGTGACTGCTTGGGAATATCAGGTGCTGCAAGCTTGGATGAGCAAGTGGTCTAAAGGATAACAGCTTGAAGTTGTGAATCAGAGGGCTGAATTCCAATTCCTATTGGGTTCATTATATTCACTTACATCCATGGGAAAGGTATGAATCCACCTGTTCTTCCTTAGATATGGGTTAATTAGTAAGGCTTGTATCACTAAACCATCATTATCTCAACCAAAAAATTCTTACAATCTAAAAAAGATATTTTCTGGCTTTGAATAACCATCATAGTTATATTAAAAATTTTGGATCTTACAAAGTTTTGAAAAACATTGAAAATTATATGGAAAAACTAGTTGTTTTGGCCAAGTTCAACTACTTTTTCAGCATTAATCATGCTTGTTTGAAAATATAATTTGGTATTAGAAAACCAATAAAATTATTGAAAATCAATTAGTTATCGATCTAAAAATATTGATTTTAACAAGTTTCAATAGTTTACACAAAGTTATATTATAAATTTTGGATCTTACAAAGTTTTGAAAAACAATGAAAATTACATTGAAAAACTAATTGTTTTGGCCAATTTCAGTTACTTTTTCAATGTTAATCACGGATGTTTGAAAATATAATTCGGTATTTGAAAACATTAGAAAGCCAATAAAATTATTGAAAATCAAAAGGTTGATAATCCATGGAAAACAAATCAATCAATCAATACATTAGTAACAATATTATCTGAAATTATTTACACTATTTATTGCCCACCCTGTTTCCACTGCGTTCAAATACACACTGTTTGACCCAGAGATTGAACTCACAATCACTATGTCACCAAATTCGTGACCCACTAGACCCCATTGTCTGATAGGACAAGGAATAACCAAGCAGTAGGAAAAATAAAAAAACTAGACAATATCCCTAGATATGAACAGTAGAATGAGAACACACAACCTCCCCATAGTTTAAATAAAAGGTTAAGTTCAGAAATCCTTGTATGTTACCCAGATTGATATAACCCTGAAGAAGGCTGCAAGGTACAACATCCGAAACATTGTGATAGTAACAACAAAGATGAGGACAATAGATAGTGTAATGATAGCTCCTCATCCCAGAAATTCAGACAGAAATTATCTGTCTGAATTTCTGGGATGAGGAGTTATCATTATTTCCATTTGAATTATTGATTGCTATTATATTGTTGTTACTATCATCTGATTATCTTCTGTGCAAATTTCTGGGATGAGAAGTAATTATTATTTACATGATTTATAGTTGAACTATTGTCCTCATCTTTGTTGTTATTATCACTCCTTGGTGTATCACATTGGGTCTCTAATGATTTGGTAATTCCTGTCTAAATTTCTGGAATGAGGAGTTACCATTATTATTTACACTATTTACATGCAGACTATTGTCCTCATCTTTGTTATTATTATCATAATTTTTTGTCCATTGTGCTCTCCAGTCTTCCTCAGTTGTATGTCAAATCCCTATAGGTTAGCCAGATTGACATACACCTGATGATAGCAAAGGGAACAATAGTTGAAACATTGTGATAACAGCAACACAGATGAGCACAATAGCTTACATGTAAATAGATGAAAAATGGTCAACCATTTTGACCAGTATTTCTATCATTTAAAAAAATATCTCTTTTTTTGTTTCTTCCATTCCACACTTTAAACATTAAGTGGATTCTACTTGAACATGGAGGAATTTCATTAAATGCTTCGCCTTCTGAATAAAAACCACAAAGCTATAAGGTATATATTGAGTAAATCTTTTGTTTATTCTTTCCAAGCATTAAGAAAATAATACAGAGTTGCTAAAAGATTTGCTGACATCAACATGACAGCTTATCATGTGAGATAACAGCAAATCTGGCAGTTTTATAAACAAACAAAAAAACTCTTCCTTTTTAAGATCTGTTATCTTTAAGTATCCAACTGTGATTGGCAGAATTCTTGAACATTTTGCAGACACTTGTTCCAGACTCTAAAGACAAACCACTGTTCTAAAAATTGTTTAACCAGAAAGATATATGATAGAAATGCCACATCCTTCTAATGTATATATATATATATATATATATATATATATGAAAAATAAAGTTAATGGTCAGAATTGAATTAGACCAGGAAACAGTAGTATTAAAAAGTGCTCAATACTTGAAATTGAAAAAATTTAATATGTAGAGCTTTTAAGTATAAAAAAATTAGATTAGCCCATTCCACTAGCTTGGTTTCAACCTTTTGGTATCTTCAGGCAATTATGGTCAATTGATTTTCTAAAGCTTTACTTTTAAAAAAAATTTAATGAATGCATTATTATTTAAAAATAAAAGCATGACATGAAGTGTGATAGAAGGGGAAGAGAAGAAGGAGAAAAGCAAGGTTATTGAAAATGTATCGGATGGGGGTTAAATGAAATATACATACTTACTTTTCATCCTGGTTAATATGAACTTAAAAAGAACTTTTTAGCATGTATGCAACAGGTCACAATTTCCAATCTCTTATTCAAAAGATTTTTGGGTTTGAAAATGTTATTATAGCTAACTTTTCTCGTTGTCAAAGGTTGCAGATATTACTATGATTGTAGTAAGGTTTGGTATATATATATATATATATATATATATATATATATATATATATATGTGTGTGTGTGTGTGTGTGTATGCGTGTCTGTGTGTGTGTATGCGTGTGTGTGTGAAGATTTTTATCTACATTTATACACACACATAGACACATATATCAAGAAGAGTTTTGAATAAAAAGATATATGACAAATTAGAAAATATTTTTCTGATGCATTTCATCTGATGAAGTCCTAACAGATGAAATGCATCACAAAAACCTTTTTACAGTCTGTCATATATTTTTTTCTTTCACGCTATTTACATTGTCCAGGCCTTAAGGGCACATGGCCCAGTGGATAAAAGCATTGGGTGGAACCAGTGTCTTGACTCAAAGAATTGTGAGTTCAATACCTGCCCACTGCAGTGGTGAACAAGAACTTGGAGAGTTAAGTTAAAGGGGGGTAGCTGAGATATCTAGAAGGGGCATGACATGTGTAACTAGAACAATCTACCCCATTGGGTGAAATAAAGTGTCCAGTTTGATATTCCACTCACCTGAAGAAGGCCAGTGTGTACAATGGCTGAAATGTTGTGAATATGACAACAAAGATGTGGGCAACAGTCCGAACAATGTAAAGAGTATAAATAATTACAATACCTCATCTAAAAAATATAGATAGAGATCTTTTCTTTCATATATATATATATATATATATATGTTGTAATATCATGCTCATTCGTGCATATGCACGCATGAGCATGACATTACAACACAAAAGAAAACATTCCATAGTGGATAACTTTTTCACATTTTAATGTACACTAATGTACACTAAGCATGACTATCAACCATTGCATGTAAAAGCAAAAAGAAAAATTACAGTAATGGATATCAAAGAACAGTTTTGTATTACTAGCACATTTCTCATGTTATTTAATTGCAATACACGGAAGGTTATCCATGAGTATGAATGGATTTTATTAATTAGCTGCCTAAATACACAAATATATATATATATATATATATATATATATACATGCTCCTGAAAAAATTATTTCGGTTGAGCACTTTGGGGGTAAAAGTGAATTTGTAAACAGTGACTGTTACTGCTGTAGATGCAAGACTCTTAACCAGATGAATTGAGTTCTCCAGTCACTGGTGTGTTTGTCTAAAAATAAATACATCTAAATGCACCTTCATCTCTGCCATGCATATATGGCTTATGGGTAAAATCTCCGACTGATATCAAATCAGTCAGGTTTCAAACTTGGCTTGAGGCAATTGGATGTCTAGCCACACTGATGATCTGTGAAACAGCAAAACAGTCTGTCTATGGATGACAATACATACATATATATATATATATATATATGTGTGTGTGTGTGTGTGTGTGTGTGTGTGCGTGTAAATATTCTGATATAAACAAAATATAACTGTAAAACGACAATATGAAAATCTTTATTTACCAATTTTTTTTGTCCTCTGATGGACTTCATCAAGGCAAATGTAAGGATTTTATTTTGCAACATGAATTTATAAGCAGAAGTAAAATTATTGATTAAGTTTAAGTAATATTTTTGCCCCACTTTACTTCCATTTATAAACACATGTTGCAAAATAAAATCCTTACATTTATATGGATAAAGTCCCTCAGCGGATGAAAACTGTATTAGAAAAACACAGTTTACGCATAGTGATTACAAATTAAATCCAAATTAATACAGTTATTAGAAAACATTTTCATCTAGCTAATGTCTTGGTCATTATCAGCATGACTTTGGTTTGCCACAGATGTCTACAACTGCATTTGCATGTTTCCCTTATATAGGCTATAAGAGAAGCCAGACAGGGAAAAGAGAAAAGAGAGCAGA